GTACACAAGACCGGGGAGGGGGAAGGAGGTCAAGGCTCACAGCAACCGCTGGGCCTGACTGCACGGCAACACATGGCCCCATGTCAGGACTAACGGGTTTGGCGGCCCCGAGGACGTGCAAGGTGCCGCGTCAACGCAACGTTCACCCCATTGGGGAAGAGACGGAGGCACTGACGCTAGGCTCGTGACCAGGATGCGAGTTCAAATCCCACCACGGAGGCTGCTGGAATGCACGTTCGAATGAGTTAAAACGGTGGGGCTCAGAAACCATGGAGGTGATGACGTTGTCGGGAAAACCCCAACCCGATTCACTTGTGTCCCTGTGGGTGAATGAAATCTGCCGCCCTCACCCGGTCTGGCCTACACGTGACTCCACACCGCAGCCCTCTGAGACGGCACTCGGCTCAAGGGGCAATTAGGGACAGACAACAGCCACGCCGGCAGAAAGGATAAAATCCGTATAACCAAAGGCTTGGCCCTCTTACCATGGCTTGTTCGATCTTGTTGTCAATGGCGACCATGCTGCTGCTGGAACCACTGTGGAGGGTGGTGGGGGGGAAAAGAGAAACAAGAAACAGGGACATCAGTGGAAGCAGAACAGAACGGGCCACAAACTGGGGAGAAGGAGGCGGGGGTGCGCTTCTCTCTTTGCCACAGCCTGTCAATGGGGAAGGGGGGGGCTGTGGTCATTAGCTGAAACCCCTCTTTACACTCAGCACACACACTTCCTGCAACTGCATAGCACTTAGAGTAACAAGGGCGGGCGGGAGGGAGGGGAGGGGAGAGGAAGGGGACAGTAGCAGAGTCACAAATTGCAGGCAGCCGATTCAATTGTAAGACAGGGAGCAAGTCTGGCTTTGGTCAGACTAAGCCACATCTGGAGCTCGGAGCACGGTTCCAGGTGGCAATCCATCCCCCCCACCCCACGCTGATCCCGATCCTGATCCTGATCCTGTGAACACAGCCCAGTCCATCACAGAAGCCACCTTTTCATCCAATGACTATCTACACTTTGTGCTGTCTTGGGAAGGCAGCCAACAAAGACCCCTCCCACCCCGGTTATAATCTCTTCAATCGGGCAGGAGATACATAGAACATAGAACTGTACAGCACAGTACAGGCCCTTCGGCCCACGATGTTGTGCCGAACTTTTACCCTAATCCTAAGGTCTATGTAACCTCCACCCCTACCCTATTCTATCATCCATATGCCTATCTAATAGCTGCTTAAATGCCCCTAATGAGGCCGACTCCACTGCCCTCTCCGGCAATGCATTCCACGCGCCTACCACTATCTGAGTAAAGAACCTACCTGTGACGTCTCCCCTATATCTACCTCCACTCACTTTAAAACTATGCCCCCTCGTAATAGCTACCTCCAACCTAGGAAAAAGTCTCTGGCTGTCCACTCTGTCTATACTTCTGATCATTTTGTACACCTCTATCTGTACAGAAGCTTAAACACTTGCACCAACAGATTCAAGGACAGCTTCTTCCCCGCTGTTATTAGACTTCTGAAAGGAGCTCTCAAATTTTAATGCTACTGTCGCCCTTCGTGCAGCTGTATTCCTCGCTCTGTTCTATTACCCTAATGCACTTTGTATCGTATGATCTGCCCGTATTGCACGCAGAACAAAACTTTTCACTGTATTCAGGTACACGTGACAATAATAAATCAAATCAAATATTCACCAGGTAGTTACTTAGTACTTTAAGTGTTGGGTTTGCCAAGCCCCACGCCTAAACTACCCTCAAACCGAACACAAGCCATCGCCATTGTATAATGGAGCATTAAAACTCCATCAACAGAAGTTGCTGGAAAAGCTCAGCAGGTCTGGCAGCATCTGTGAAGGAAAAAAACCAGAGTTAACGTTTCAGGTCCGGTGACCCTTCCTCAAAACTGCTCAGCAACTTGCTTTTGTTCCTGATTTACAGCATCCACAGTTCTTTGGGTTTTTATTAAAACCGCATCGTCCAGTCAGTGGCATGACGGGAAAAACGTGAGATCGAGACAGATACCGACCAGTAAGAAAACTATACTTTAGCGTGTGACATCCATCTCGTGAAACTGACAGATAAAAAGATAACTGGAAGGGCATCAAGGTTGGTAACCGGTCAACAAAATGACGACAACTTCTTTTTCCCCACACAACTGAATGCCCCATGGTTGACCAAGTCAACAGCGTAAAGACACTTCCACTTTGTGGGCTGACTGAAAATATGAGATGGTCGCTCACAAATCCGACCAGGAATTCAGGAGAGATTCTGCCACCTGCAGAACAGTGGGAATGTGGGAGTGGTGGTGAGGGGTGACAGTACTGACAGATCCAAGGGGAGACCGGGAGGGAGCTGATGAAAGGAACAGCAGGCTCCCTTAGCAGGGTGAGGGGAGGAGGCCCTAGTGGAACCTAACAAGCCTGGGTTCTGAGCTGTGAACATTTTAGACCACTGGGAGGTCAGATTCCATTAAGAAGGCCTGCAATGCTCTGGAACGTGGAAGAGTTATTCGATTGAGATTTTTCCGGTCTTTGACAGGATTTACACGCTTGACTGGGAAAAGGAGCGTCAGAGAATACGCACAATGGTTTTAGAGTGTCCCCGGGCTCAGTATTTTAAAATCTGAGCCCCTATTCAGGAGGAAAGTTAGGAAACATTTCTTTCGTTGTTAGAATTGAGGAACTCAGTCTCATGAAAAGCACAAGGGCGCAGCTCAATGGGTCATTTCAAATCAGAGATCTATTTAATTAGATAAAACAATAACGAAGGATTATGGAGTCACGGGAGATTGATGGGAGTTAGGATACAGGCCAGCCATAATCCCACCCCCTGAATGGAACAGACTCAAGGAGCTGTCTGGCCTTCTTCGCAGTTTATGCAAGAGCCTGAGTACGATTCTGGTTTTAGTGGGCACCACTCTCACTACAGAGAGTGAGAGAGAGCTAGGAAACCTGACAGAATGGCCTTAGAGGATATATCTATCCCTTTGTGGGATAGAACGGACTGACAAAGGAGTCTACTGAGGAGTAAAGTGGAGTTGAAGCCAAAATTAGATCAGCTGTGATTTTATTGAAAGGCACAGCCAGCCTTAGGGGCTGAATGGTCTGCTCCTGAATCATACATTCATGAGAGTACTGTTACTGCTGTGAATGAGGCATTGACTAAAGCCCAGTCACTTTTTTCCAATGTTTGAAAAGAGATCCCACAGCTTCTCTCTTGAAGCTCCTACATTTCAAAAGTACTTCACTAACTGCAGAGCGCTCTGGGACATCATGAGGCACTATATGAATGGAAACTCTCTCTGTCTTTAAGACCAATAAACAGCTCCGTGCTGACTGTTCTCCCGAGGTGACAACACATTTCCAGCACTGCTTTTTTCTAGTCTAGTTCAGACGTTTCTGTGTTGACAGTCCATTTTCCTCAGCAGGTTACAGTGTGACTCTATGACTGAGTGAGCAGCCTGCAATCAGTTGACAGGTTTTCATTTTACAGAATGTGCTCACTGTAAAAGTTTACAGCTTTGAGTTTAGTTTCATTTTAATGGTGCGAATGCGCTGCCCCCTGATGGTGTTACAAAAGGATTCTGCACAACTCAGATCTGACTGAGACACTGAGAATGCAGAGTAGCAAGGTCCTTCATTGCTAAGTCTTTAAAATTGTGCTCTGAACAGGACAGCAAGAGGTGTTTGGTCAGCAGAGTGGTTGTGTTACTAGTAAACGCTGCACATAACGGGGATTGAAATTCCACTGCAGCCATGCGAGGGAAATGCCAATTCAGCTCTGCGCATAAATCCAAAATTTAAAATGTTAGCCTGGGATAGGCTGACCAGTGTCCTTTAGGGAGGGAAACTGCCATCCGTACCTGGTCTGGTCTGCACATCACTCCAGACCCAGACCACAGAAAGCCCTGTGAGCCACTTAACTTGATCATCAGGGAACGCCTACTGTGTGGAAACAGGCCCTTCAGCCCAACAAGTCCACACCAACCCTCAGTGCATCCCACCCAGACCCACTTCCCTATAACCCACCTAACCTACACATCCCTGGACACTACTGAGCGTGGCCAATCCACCTAGCCTGCACATCTTTGGACCGTGGGAGGAAACCGGAGCACACGGAGGAAGTCCATGCCAACAACGGGAGAACGTGCAAACCCCATACATTCTCCCGAGGGTGGAATCAAACCTGGGTCCCTTGTGCTGTGAGGTAGCAGTGCTAACCACTGAGCTACCGTGCCACCCTTTCTCGAGGTTACTAACTGCTAGGGCCCGCACATTCCATTAATGAATTGCAGGAGCGGGTTACATAAGGCAGCGCTGACACAGAACAAGGTGATTTACAGCAGTCTGCCTTATTTTCCTTCGTTACCCTCTTCAGGCACCAACTCCCTATATCTTGGTACCCTCCTCCAGTCCTACAAACCCTCTGAGATCTCTGTTGTGCTCTAATCCCAGAGGCTTGCGCGGCCCGAATCCCATCGCTCCACTGTCAGCAGGTCGTGCCCCCTCCCCCGAGCTCGAGAACTCACCCCTCCCCAAACCTCAGCCTGCTGCCCTTTCCTCAAACTAACCCCCTTGGACTAATCGGACCAACACCGCCCATTTGGCTGGCTGCTCGTCTTCCACAGTTCCGTCTGTCAAAGATGCTATCCGAGCCAGAATCGGAAAGATCGGAATCACGACATCAGTGCGGGCGAGACCCCACACCGTCATTCATCCTGTGCAGAAAAACCCAATGCTGCAACTCCCAGCTTAGGTGGCTGCTGGGAACACGGTCATGTCTCTAGCTGACCCGTGGAGATTGTACTCGGTGGCGCTGGTATTGGGTGGCACGGTGGCTCAGCGGTCAGCACTGCTGCCTCACAGCGCTAGGGACCCAGGTTTGATTCCTTGGGTGATTGTCCGTGTGGAGTTTGTACGTTGTCCCTGTGTGGGCGTGGCTTTCCTCCGGGTGCTCTGGTTTCCCCCCAAGATGTGCAGGTTAGATGGTTTAGCCATGGAAATACAGGGTTACAGGGATAGCGTAGGGGATGGGATGCACTTCAGAGTGTTGGTGCAGCCTCGATGGGCCGAATGGCCTGCTACCACGCCGTGGAGTTCTCTGAGTTCTGCTCAGCTGCAGAACCACGTATCGCACATCCACACGCGCGGCTTGAGGCGAAGACGCTGAACGTAAACGTGCTGGACTCCCCACTCCCAGGGCAGCAGCTAAACCCCTGTACACCACCCCATGGGCTGCCGATCAGCGGGATGCACTCTCGCCTCGGGGCTCAGTAGGTCACAGGTTCGAGCCCCACTCCAAACACCTGGTGAGTGATAGAAAAACAGGTCAACACTCTGAGGCAGTGCGGAGGGAATGCCTCACTGTGGGGAGGTGCCGGCAAGGCCCCACCCTCCCCTCAGCCACCAGTGGAAGGAGCAACGAAGGAAGCCCCTGTACTTTCCTGCCTGATACCTAATCCCTTGCCCCAAAACCTGGATACTGCTATCTTACTGTGTGATAAATGGCCACCCAGAAAGCACCACAATGTAAACAACGGCACGGTAACCTGCTCATTAACTCCAACAACACAGAGAGAGGACCTTCTGCCCATCACATCCATTCTGTCATCTACCGACTGTAGACCCATTCCTCCCCCCGCCTAGGTGATTGATCCCCCGACTAAGGGGAAAAGTTTCTATGGCTTTCATAATTTTTCACAACTCAATCAGATCACACTGCACCTCCTGCTCCTCCTCCTCTTCCCCACCCCCCCACCAAAGTCTTCACTGCTCTAAGGAAAACAACCTCTAGCAGCTGAAGCACTCCAGCCCAGGGCCACATCCTGGTGAATCTCCTCTGTACCCCCTCCAGGGCAATCACATCCTTCCTATAGCATGGGGGCAGAACTGCACACAGTACTCCAGCTGTGGTCTAACTAAGATCACGTACAGCTCCATCATTACCTCCCTGCTCTTGTATTCAAAGCTCTGACTAACAAAGGCAGGTATCTCATATGCCTTTCTCTCTAATCTTCTGCATTCTTTTGGGGAGAGGGGATTTGGTGGTGTTGGTGGGTCTCCAGACTTTGAGGATTCTGGAAGATTCGCCCGGGCGTAGAGTATGGGCAAGGCTGGCTACAGCACAGCTTAGTGCCCATTCCTAACTGTCCCCTACTAGCTGGTGACGAGTCACCTCCTTGCATGGGTTGGCTGGGCTCAATGGCCTCCTCCTGAGCTGTAATCATTCTATAAACCCAATGGTGGGGTCTAAACCTGGGATTTTAACACAGACTTCAGGACTACTACCCCAGCAAGCATAATTGCTGCACTGCTGCCCACCCAAGTTCGCCCTGCTCTAGTTGCTCCTCAGTTACTTCGCATTTCAAAATGAAGCTGGATCCCTGTTACCACTCCGCTTCTCACTTAAAAAAAAATCTGTCGCCACATCCTCCGGCCAGTTCAACGGATCTCGCAATCTCTGACTAGACTTGAGGGAGAGGCTCTGTGCTTCGGTGTGATGAAACGAAGCATTGTGGCACTGCCAGGAACATATAGGAAAGCAGAATGCACAGGCTGGGAGAGAACATCAGCCCTGACAGTGAGAATGGGTGGGGTGTTCAACGTTCAGTCAGCGCTCTGGGGTGGGTGGCGTGGCATGTACCAAAGTTGCTGAGAGCTTTCTGCACGGAAGAGGCCTTAAGAAGGGCATTGGAGGCCTTTGCATCTGAGGGTGAATGTCTCATCAATTGATCCAGCCACATCTCTCAGTGATTGTTCAGTCATGGCCTGTGCTCTGGTTATCGGCAGAGAATAACAGTAGGGGATCCCTACATCTTAAGGGTGAACTAAGTTGACGTTGCAATGGTTATCAGTCCTATTGCCGATCTGACCACTGTTCTCTGTGTCTCAGTATTGCTTCAGCTCTGTGTTACAGCTTTAGGGTTAGGTGCAGCTGTGTCTAAGGAGCCTCGGTGAATTTCAGCAGTGCATCTATCTTGTAGATGGTACACACTGCTGCTACTGAGCATCGGTGGTAGTGGGATGTTTGTGGATGTGGTTTCAATCAAGCGGGGGCTGGATGGTGTCAAGCTTCTCGAGTGTTGTTGGAGCTGCCCCCATATGGGGCAGGTGGGGAGTGTTCCATCACCCTCCTGACTTGTGCCTTGTCGATCAGACAAACACAGAGGCAGGAGTTCTCACTGCAGAATTCCTAACCTCTGACCTGCTCTTGTAGCCACAGTATTAATATGGCAAGTCCAGTTCAGTTTCTGCTAAGTGGGAAACCCCAGAATGTGGACTTTATGAGACATGTATTGCCCCCATTTGCTCTCTCTGCACGAGGTACTAAGCAAAGAGCAATTATATTCTTTTCAGGTAACTCCACCTCGACTCCCCTTCCTGCTCAGTGAGATCACGCACCTTGCTAAGAGTTTAGGACCATCACTAATCAGCAATACAAACACCAAGGGTCCCACAGCAGTGAGAATGCACAGAAACGCCGGCTGGCTGACATCCCTCTGCTCTGATCTACGAGCACTGAGGCATGGCTGTGTCTATCCCTCACATTGCTATGGTCCCCATCGATGTCCTGCTACCCCAATGCACCTACACCACAACAGGGAAGGCACACAGGGGTATTTCATTCCAACACTTGCCTCAAATCATCCTCAGAGTATCAGAGCAAGGTGCCACTCAGTGGGCTGTCCTACTGGGGCGGCTCAGTGGTTAGCACTGCTGCCTCACAGCGCCAGGGACCCGGGTTCAATTCCACCCTCGGGTGACTATCTGTGTGGAGTTTGCACATTCTCCCTGTGTCTGTGTGGGTTTCCTCTGGGTGCTCTGGCTTCCTCCCACAGTCCAAAGCAGGTTAGGGTGGGTTAGCCGTGGAAAATTGCCCAAAGTGTCCAGGGATGTGCAGGCTAGATGGATTGACCGTGGGAAATGCAGGATTACAGGGGGTGGCTAGGTCTGGGTGGGATGCTCTTCAGAGGGTTGATGCAGACTCGACGGGCTGAATGGCCTCTATCTGTGTATATCCTCACTCCTAGAGGTGGGTGACTGCATGTTCGAGCCTTCTCTCCAGCCCATAACCTCAGTCGCACTGAGCGGCCATTACACCTGCCTTCTCCTACTTCTGTAAACCTCTCAACTGAACATTAGAGCAGACGGCTAGTTCCCTGAACACACTGCGGGATCTTGCTGTGCACAGACAGACTGCTCGGTGAACAGGTGAAGGGGGGAGGAGGTTCTGCTCACTCCAGTTGCTGGCGACTAACTGCGACTGAATAACGACTTGGCCACAAGAGCACATGGAGATGACAACAGGCGCTACACAGACGCAGGGTCTGCAAATGTCAGTTGGGAATCTCGGCACCGTTACCTGTGGAAGAACAGCAGCAGCGACAGGAGGTTCTTGTCCAGGTTGCGGTTGTAGGCGTTGTTGTTCCTCGCGTTGCTGAGGCTGCCCGCCCGAGCCTCAGGCCCCTGCTGGCTGCGTCGCGGGGACAGGGTCCTAAAGCGGTGCTGCTGGAAGTTGTTGTTGTTGTTGTTGTTACCGCAACAGCTGCTGGAGCGAGCAACAGACATCTCCCGAGCCGACAGCATGATCTAGAGGGGCGGAGCGGCCAGGATGTCCTTCCCGCCTGAGCCACGGATCAGCACGCCTTTTTTTTGACGTAAGGGGACGGCTACGATTCTGGCCGAGCAGAGCAGAGCTTGATACCCGCTCTGCTGTTGGGGGGACCAAGCCTTTCGGTTTCGTTGAGGCAGTCGGGTACAGAGATGTACGGAGGACGGGGGGGGGTGTGCAACAAATTTGGGAGACGCGTCCGTTTTGCACGCTGCCGTCCTGCTGCTGGGTTAGCTGATCGTTCCTCCGTCTTAATATTCGGAGCGAGTGTGGCCCATCAGCCCACGCTGCTTGCTGTGACTGGTTGGCAGGGAACAAAGTACTCCCACCAGCTCCTGCCCTGCGCCTGTGCCCGTGCCAAGCCTCTCTCCAAACCTTTCGCTGCCGGGAGGAACAGCAGGAGGATGTTCAGCCCCTCGTGCCCATTCTGCTCTCCACCTGGCCCCGCCACGTTACTCCACCCACCCCACCTTGGCTCACATTTCCAACGTCAGGGGTCCAGACACGGGCAGGACTGTTCAATGTTGATCCACTTGATTGAAGGCCCAGGGAGCGGGGATACACTCAGCAGGGAAGCACCTCAGCTGGTGGAACAGAGAACCTCCCATCCAACACCAAGATAACGCAGACGCTTTGTGGCAAGAGGCTACGTTGCAGCCTCGAGCATCTCAAACACACTGATACCCGCGAGTGATAAGAATACAAAGCACATGCTTTCTATACACAGCACAGTGCCTCAACTGACTGGACATTCGACAGGGAGATCCTATGCTGCGTTTTCGATGCAACAGTTAAGGATTGTGTTTGGAAAGGACACTCGATGCTAAATTGTATTAACTGATGTGCTACTGGATGGTAGTGAGTCCCAGCATAGTCTGAACTGTGCTGCATGTAAGGACGGGGTTTGTACGCCTCTCTCACACAGGAGTTAATGCAGCTTGCAAGTAAATAATACCCTTGTTTATGAGCAGTGTGACACTTGGGCACGCAAGAAAGTCTTGGTCTGCTCGCTTTGAAATGGTAATCGGGCTTATTAGAAGTAGCTACGCATGTACAGTGGCGGGAGAACCAACAAATAAGGGGCCTTCTGGGGGGAAGAGAGACAGCGAGGGAGACAGGGAGGGGGAGATGACTCACGGAAGTCTGTGCGCACATTTTGTGGAAGGGCACTGAACAGACTTAAACTTTTCTACAAGGGGAAAAGAAATCAGATTGAGGCCACTGTGCAGCATCGGCATCTCCGCTTCCCAAAGGTTAATTGTTCCAGAAGAGGAAACAAGTGCTTCTTATCTGCCTCTGGTGACGGAACACAGCTGGCCATTCAGCCCGTCCAGCCTAGCCTGCCATTCACTACGATCAAGGCTGATCGAACATTTCAAAGCCTTTTACTCAGCCCATCCCCATAACTCTGCGCCAATGATAATCAGAAATCTATCAATTTCTGCACTAAACAGACTGAGCCCTTTGTGGTAGAGAATTTCAAACGTTCACCACTCTCCAAATAAAAAACAAAATTCTCATCTTGAACCCTAGCGATAACGGTGTCCCCCCACCTCCGGTTCTAGACTCCCCAACCAGGGGAAACATCTACCCGGTCTTGTTCTTTCAAAATTCATTCACAGGATGAGGGTATCTCTAGCTAGGCCAGCATTTATTGCCCATCCCTAGCTGCTGAGAGGGCAGTTAAGAGTCAAC